ATCTAAACATCCATAAATCAAGAAACGTTTACTTGAGATGCAAACATGAATGTATGATGTCTTGTTTTCTGAGAATTTGAATCTGTTATTGGAAAATGAAAATTCCATTGAATTAAGTTGATTTTTCTGAGCCCATTGGCAGGTATTTGTTCTTGTTTTGATCATAAACTCACTTCTTTTTGATACATTTCTCACCAACTTGTCATTTTGCTTCTCAAGTAAATGCATCTTGATTTAAGGATCTTTAGGCATTTTCACTTGAAACTTGAACACTTCTTTTTGCAGTGTGACCAGAAGATACAGTCAAAGTTATTTCCATATTCTAGTGGTTTGGAGCAGTGTTATTCAATCCATTAGCTTCTTCTTCTTATTATTCTCGTAAAACGTATTAAAAAGTAATGGAGATCTGTTGGAAGTTGTATTTTCAAACTTTGAAAAATTTACATTTAGAGAAAATAGACACAATGTGTTCTATTTAATTTATTACTTAATTTTACATTACTTGGTCTTAAAAAGGTCTTTAAATGTCTTAAATTTACAATTTCAAAATACCTGCAGAAACCCTGTGAACCTCCCCACACGTGCGCGCGCGCGCACACACACACACACACACACACACACCCAAAACACTTCATTTAAAAAAAAATCTGAATTATTGCATTCGATACAAAGTGTCATCTGTTCTCAAATGTTGCTACAGCTTTTCTCAGAAACTTTTCTCTCTTTTCGGACTCAGTTTTGCAGTGACGTTTATGAACTGGTGTTGTGGTGATTTTTATGAAGTCAGTTCTCATGAAGTTCACACAGGTGTCCCATCAGACTTAACCACAGGAGTAGTTTATCAAATTAAGATGAACATGGTCCACTAATGTTTGACATCCAAAAGTGGCACAGGACTTTTTGGTCCTCATTTTGAACAGTATCTACTGATTTATCATCTAAAATAAATAAAAAGATAACTTGCAATAAAAGTGTAACCTTTTTGACTTTTAAAGATGGCACGATCATTTTATTTCTCCCTCAGTAGAAGCCATTTAAAATGCCATTTTTCTGCGGAACACAAAAGATATTCTGAAGAATGTTAGTAACCAAACCGTTTCGGTTCCCTTTGACTTCCATTGTATTTTTGGTCCAGACAATGGAAGTCAATGGGAACCAAAACTAACATTCTTAAAAATATCTTTTGTGTTCAGCAGAAAAAAAAGCCATACACGTGTGGAACAAAAAAAATAATTCATATTTGGGGCCCTAAATTGTGCAAATTCACGTGTTCAGTGATAAGCAGCCACTGGGAGAGGCCCTCCGTTTTCTCAACAAATATTTTCCAAAAGGCCAGCACACGGACACATCTTTCTGATTAGCCAACAGATGTGCTGAGATATTTTAGCCTTACCCTGGCAGGTCTTAAAGAACACTTCTGTTTCACACATGGTCAAATACCTCACAAGTGCACATCGCTTCATTCTTTTATATGATGGGAACGTTTTGCACGGAAAAGAAAACCGCTTTATTCTTTAGCCAGCTGAAATATAATTTGTGAGCGAACTGAAATCAGGTCCGTCTCAAAACAGAATGCCTGAAATTCAATATTCACACATGCAGCAGGAGATATTAAAGAAGGATATATATGTTAGAGGAGAAAAGACCAATAATTAATAATGTGCACGAGTTATTACTTCCACGTGTTAACCCAGTGTTTATATGTGCCAAGTCTGGTTTCACGTGGTTTATTTTTGAGTTTCATGTACAAAAAGAATGTTAACATGAGAACTTGACAACCGACTCGCAACCAA